TGGTCTGGACATGACAAACCTCTCTCCAATCACAGCTAATGCTAAAGTCCTGGATTGTTTTGAGCACAGTAGAAATCACTTCTCCACTGGGGTAGGCCAGCAGAAAGGGCTGATAAAGAAACTCTAGTTCTTTCTCTGAAGTCTAGACAATGGGTGATTCACTCAAGGCTTCTCTTTGCCTAATTGGCTAGATCTTCTTTCCTAAATGTCAGTCACTGATATATGACTTCATTCTTCCACTAAAAACACTGAGAGGCAGGAGCAGGTTAGTTTCTCACAACACAAATGGGACTAGTTCCTGCATGGTTTGCCTTGTATCTGCAGGTGCTAGGAACCCCCCCCCCCGCCCAGAAAAAAAAGAAAAAAGAAAAAAAAGAATGAGAGCTGGGAATCCAAGGATCATGGTTCATCCAAGGAGGGCATTTCCCTTTGCTTGAGGACGCTCATGAAAAGCACACAAAGTGATGTTCAAATGTCAAGACAGTTTATACTGTTAGCTGGATATAATTATCCACTAGCATTCAATGCAAAGGTATTGGTACCATCTTAGGTAGTTACTTCTACTGAGCACCTTGTATGGTGATATTCTTCTTTTCCTTTACAAAATATACTTCCCTGCCATAAAGCAAATTGTTTTTAACAATTCCGGTAGGTGTATCCTTTAAACTTTATCACAAACTATAGAGTGCCTTGTTAACATGGCAGCTAAGCAAGTATAACACTCCTGCGGAAATCTTATTGCCATCCAATTCACTGCTTTTCTTTATAATACACTGAAAATCCTTCTAATCTCTCCTTACCCCTCCACTCCACTCTTTTGAAACATTAGAAAGTAGTCACATAATTACAGCTTGGGGACATAACACTTTCATCCTGACATGCTCCAAAGGTAGCCACAAAGCAAATTGTTCCATGCTGTGTGCGCCACTAGAGCACAGTGGCTTTAAACAACAGTCAGCTTTATTAAAAACTCCTCTCTTCCCAGAATGGACAAACAAAAGAATTACTCTGATGTAAACATAAGGGAAAGTTGCACTCAGTGAGTTATTTATAGTTAACCCCTTCAGAAGAAAGAGTCACGTAAGTTAAAAGGAATGACTGGGAATTCTGGTACTAAGGAAGGAAAAGCAAAGTCTTTTTTTAAAACTCCCAGTACTGATCTTTGGAGACTACCTTTCTTTTCTTTCTGTTGTCTCTTCCCTCGCCCCCCTTCCCAGCTGTAACAGGACTTATAAGACTTTTATATAGGAATTCTAAACCATGTGGGACATATAAAATATTCTGCTCATCAACTCTGAACAGTTATGGGGTTTCGAGTAATGTGTGAACCAATGTTTCTTTCATTTTCACATTTCTCAATGGTATCCTAGCCCAAAAAAAGAATGTGAGTATTCTCAGATTGGTTATTTTAGGAAAGCAGTGCTTATCTACGGACAGGATATACTCAAGTTACTGTAGCATATGGGGACGCAAATGAAGCTCATTGTCCTATCTAATACGGTATCGCCAACTCTGATTGGTGGTGGCTTTCCAAAGACTTGGATAGAGGTTTTTCATGCCCATAATTCTACCGGAAATCCTTTAACTGGAGGTGTTGGGAATTGAATCTGAGACCTTATACACTGATAAAGAGCTGATGTGCTTTGAATGTATAAGCATGAGAAGGCATGTGCTCTGAACCTGTGCTATGGTGGCTTTTTGCCCAATATCGCTTATACAGTGGTGCCCCGCAAGACGAATGCCTCGCAAGACGAAAAACCCGCTAGATGAAAGGGTTTTCCATTTTTTGATGCGCTTCGCAAGACGATTTCCCCTATGGGCTTGCTTCGCAAGACGGAAACGTCTTGCGAGTCTTGCGATTTTTTTCGCTCCCCCCCTTTTTCTAGGCCGCTAATAGCCTTTTAGCCGCTAAGCCTTTAATAGCCGCTAAGCCGCTAATAGCCTTTTAGCCGCTAAGCCTTTAATAGCCACTAAACCGCTAATAGCGCTAAGCCGCTAATAGGGTTGCTTCGCAAGACGAAAAAACTGCTAGACGAAGAGACTCGCGGAATGGATTATTTTCGTCTTGCGAGGCACCACTGTACATTTTATAATTATGGATATTAACGAGACTTTCTGTTGAGGAGAACTAAAATAAAGGGAGTACAGTCATACCTCGGGTTGAATATGCTTCAGGTTATGCTCTGCAGCGACCCGGAAGTTACGGAATGTGTTACTTCCGGGTTTCACCTCATGCGCAGACACTCAAAATGACATCATGCGCAGAAGCGGCGAATCATGACCCACGCTTCAGGATGCGAACGGGGCTCTGGAACAGATCCCGTTCGCATCCAGAGGTACCACTGTATATGTCAGATTCACAGTACAAATGTTTCACGGCTACCGTTTCGTCTGCTTTGAGGTCCATTCTAAAACGCAGCCTTTGTTGTGCATGTTGAAGGAGAAACAGGTTTTCCCTTCTCCCAAATCTTGGTTCCCATCTTTCTGAACTCTCTTCAACCTGGTGAATACAAATCCGCCCTGCTAGGAACATAGCTTACCTTTGGTGCAAGCAGAAGAGGACCCCTTTTCTGGGGCCACTTTAAAGGTGATGCTGCACCCATGTCTCTCACAAGCACTTGATGGAGGTTTTCAAAATCCATTAGGTTAAGTATATTTCTGTTCAGCAACCCTAACGTCCAAACACACAGATCAGAAATGAACCTTTAACCCTGCGCAGCTATATCTGGTGCCTGGATTCAGCACCTACTGTGATACAGCAATGTCAAGCTACAAGGGAATGCAAGCATATAAATAGGAGAATTACACACAGAGAGATTTCACATATTTGCTGTTAAATTTGACAACACAGGATTATTCCTCCATGCCATTCACACATATGTAAAAAGTTTCAGTAGGAAAACGCTACATGTGATTTTGAAAATCTATATAGAAAGCTGTGGATCTAGCCAAACAGATCTTGTGTTTCTCAAAGCAGTCATAAAAACCGCCCATGAGAGGCAGCCCTTGGTAGTCTAGGAAGTAGTTCCATCACTATAAGGGTACAATGAAAGTGCCACAGGTTGACTGGGGTGTTGTTTATAGTGCATTTTGCTGCCTCGCGTTACGAGCAACTGTTATATAGTTCACGTTTCCCTACAGGCTTTCATAAACTAAATAACTCAGCAAAAGGATCATTTCTTCCCGGTGATCCTTTTCAGGAAAAGCTGTATGTTGAGGCAAATGCCTCTGTCTTGATGTAGCAATGCACAGTTCAAAACCCTGAACTGGATGAAAGATTTGAGGTGCACTTGACACATCTGGGGAGTTTCAAAGCCCCCTACTAATATTAATGAATGTTTGCATTTCATTCATTTCAGTTTCTGAAACTATCATGTGGCTTGCTTCCCTTTTGGCAGCTAAATGGGCTATTCTCCTTCTCATGGTGCGATTCCTGGTTTCACACCAAGTGGCTGTTGCTGATCAGTATAACAACAGGCAATTCTACGTGTGTGTTTTTTCTGGGGTTGTGTCATTCCCATCCACTCAGAACGTCCCAGCTATTTCAAACCACTTCAAAGTGAAAGTTTACATACTGGATTTTATTTTTTTATTTTGCCTTGCCAAATTAAAAGGGTTAGATTTCGTTGACTGCAACATCCAGGGTTGCGGGTTATAAATCAAGAGAGACTTGGAACTTACCCTTACTTTATTTTCGGGGATTACTTTAAACACCAGTTATTTACAAAGGAAACTGGATTTTCCTTAACGGGTCGTATTATTACTGTTCACATGATATTGCCAATAAAATCTGATTCCCTTTTATAAAGTCTCTTTAACAAGACACTGCTTACTTGCAGGGGTATTTTACATATCAAAAGCTACCAAACAACAAAAAAGAGGAAGGTAATTTGTATTTGTAAAGGGGTTGTTGTGAATATGATTTACGGACAACATTTTTCAATTGTTATCATGCCCGTTTTGTATAATCAACCCTTGTTCCCCCATGGGTTATTCACGTGCTATTCTATAATGAGAAATTTGGCAGATCTCATCTCTTTAGTGCATCCTTAGTGCCCACCACGAGCTGAGGATCATGTTCTGCCTTGTTTACAGCTGACAGCGTTATTATTCTCATTAGGACTCTGCTTTCTTATCATATTGTTGTGTTGAGCGAGCCTTTTCCTCTCCGTTTGTGTTTCCTGGCAGGGCTTTTCTTCCCTTATTGACAGTTTGTAAAAATATGCATTAATTTGGAGTTTAAAGCATGTATCATGGTGTCTCTTTGCTGTGTTTGCTTGAAGTTGATTAATGATAGAACCTCACTTGGGGTCGTCCTCTGGAGACTTGCCTCACAGGTTCTGCATGTTAACTAGAGAAGCAGAACACACAGTAACCGATGATTAGCCCAGCCTCCAGAAGCTCAGTGGGCTGATAAACCACTGTTTTGCTTTACAGATGCTTATTTCATTTATTTATCCGAAGATTGTATTAATCAAGCTAATGTGTCACTCGAGAGCATTTTCCCTAAATTCCACGAAGAAACCTTAAAGAAGCAAAGGCTTGCTTCCTGGTTTTGTTTTCTATTGAATCTTGGCGTTCTTAGGATTTCTTTACCCCCACTCCCCCGTTGCCCTTTACAGCCAAACTAAGATTCACAATGTGACATGTATTTGTGAAAAAACAGGCGGGGGGGGGGGGGAGAGAGCTGTGCTCCATATCAACCGTTAAAAAGGGGGAGAGTTTCAAGCACCTTAGGCTCTCTCCCCCTTTGTCATTTTCCTTGTTTGGTAGGAGAGATTGTATTTCCAGGTTCTTGGGAACCTTTGAAAAAACAACTCCAGTTGCTATAAAATGATAGGTGTTTTAATTATACAAAAATAGGTGCTTTATTCTAAAGAGCCGAATAACCTTTTTGAATTGTGGGTCACTTTTTCTAACCCAAACAGGGTTGGTTGGTTTTTTTTTAAAGTAATTAATTGCTCACCAACATTTCCTCTTTCCTTTTCTCATGTTCACAGGCACCCGGTTCATGTTAAAGAAGAACCATTAGATCCAGATGAAAATGAAGGCCCGCTGTCCTTAGTGACAACAGCCAATCACAGTCCAGAGTTTGACCACGACAGAGATTATGAAGACGAAAATGTAAATGAGGACATTGAATGAATATGTCTGTGATGTGATCCTGCAAATGAAGATCACGGGGAGGGAGGAAAAAAAACATATACTTCAAAATTAGCTGTGAAATCTCTCCCCCATTATTGTACAGTCTGGAGGAAACACTTGGTCCATTTTGACAGCTATAAAGTACGTTAACTCTTAGTGCCATCAAGTATCCCATTTGGGAGTATTTTTGATTTTTCTACTTTTTGTTGAAAAAAAAACAAAACAAAGGAATTTGTACTCTGTGCATTGGATGGACTTGTTTGGTACTTGGGATTCCCTCTCACAGTCAACATCAGTGTTGTAAATTTGTTCAACCAATTCATTTATCCACAATTTGGCAGCAGACTTTGGACTGCAATTCTTCCAATTTGGGACACCGAAGACATCAAGCTGAGCATGTACACATAATTGCAGATCAAGCCTTTGCCCAGATTTTGAGGATTCCAATGGACAATATTTGCACAGTATCGCATGTTGATTATCACTGCCTTCACTTTTTCTTTCTTTGCTTCCATTTGGGATGGGGAAGTCGTGTGCGTGTGTGCACACGTGCATCTACATGTGTGCGTGCATAAGTGTGTGTGTGTGTACTGAAGAGGGGTTAAAAGAAAATTCTCCCAATTTTTTTAGTGTATAACTTTGATTTCCCCCCTACTTCTCCTTCACCATTTTAAGTTCTGACCTCAGGCCTCAACTGGCCAGAGCCTTTTGAGGCTTAAATGTTTTCTGTACTTTTGTGATGAATGTTAATAGGTGTTTTTATTATACAAAGCTGAATGTCCTTGGAATTGTTTGTAGTTCTTTTTCTACCATTCATTCCAGTTTCCTTCAGATGCCATCATGTTTTCTTTCGCTATGGAAAACATTCCAGTTTGGGCTATATTCCCACTCCTCACCCCCCCCCCCAAAAAAGAAAAAGGTTTCAAAAGCTGCTGTAACCGTGTGCAAAGATATCTTTGATCAGAAAGAAAGGTAGTTGCAAGAATTGAGAATGAAAGGCAAACCAGCACAAAACAGTATATAGGATGCGGTGCAAATTCATTCCACAGAGCAGTGTATGTTGTTATCATCGTTCAGAGTTTTGTTTCTGGGCTTTCATTTCTTTTTTTGCAGTAATGGTAAATATTTAGTAACACAAACTTTTAACAGCACAAAAAACACTGAACATACACCATGCAGGGTTTTATTATGTCAGAAATGAATATAATCGTGGAAAGCTCTTAGCCTTTTAACCTGAGTTTCTGGGACATCAAATGCTTCTGGAATATCTAAAATACCAATCTGCCTATACGTATTTTCGATTCACGTTCGAAAGTGGGCATTATGGGAGCATTGTACGTGATTAAACAGTTTGAGAATTGACTGGTGGTATCCATCAGCTTGAATACAATTTAGGTTTTGGATTCAACTTCTAGGGAAGGCCCACTAGTTGTAAAGTGTTAATAATTTTAACTCTGCAAACTGCAGTTAAGAACATTACACAATACTACACCAACCAGTATCAGAAACTGACAACTTGAAACCTGTGGGTGAATTAGCACTGTTGCAAGTTGCAGCATTCTTCAAAGCAAATGCGGGCAGGCAGCTGCTGTTAGAACATTGGTACCCATTGATCACCGCACATCTAAACACTTTCCATTCTCCAGCCACTTCTCCGTAACTCACTTATTTATGTCGGACTATAGCTTTTTAATTTCAAACGCCTTTCTGTTTTTTTTAATTTATATTCTACTTTTGTACCTTTCCCCCTAAAATTACCAAAGATATTACACAAAGGTAAATTATGTTCTCTGTTATATGCTTTATCTTATGAAGCCAAATATCCTCTTATTGTTGATCAAAGGAGGTGAAAGAATTTAGAAGCAAATGTCAAGATACGGGCTATGGCTAACCTGAGAAGGGAAACTGCTCCTTTATTAGAGTCTAAGTTAGAAGACCAAGTAGATTGCTGAACCAAAGTTGTTGTTGTTTTGTTTTTTGTTTTGTTTTTGTTTCTTTACAGGGACCAAATGTATTTCTGTAAAGAAAGACCTTTTAAGGCTAAAGCTATGGAACAGTATTAAGTGAAGGGAGCATGTAAGGACAGCATTTCATCCTGAGAAAACAGGAGAGTAGTCTAATTTTCCTGCAAAACAAAGGAGATGCTTACATAATATTCAGAAGAACTCTCGCAACTTAAACTGAACCATATAATAGTATCTCAAGAATTTTATTTTCTAACCTTTTGTTTGGTCTCCGGCCTTGCAAATCCTATTCACTTTTGTTAAAAGCAAATTGCAAGGCAATTTCTGTTTAATTTGCTTTAATCTGTGCACAGGACCTTAGAGTGATTGTGACTGTTGTTGTGTTTGGGGTTTTTTTTCCCCTTTGAAATTTGGTCAGCATCTTCCATGCAGAATAACACTCCTGTCCCCTTGTAAACTTTGGTACCATTCAAGTCAATGGGAGATTTTTGCCATTAACTTCAACTGGATGCAAATTGCTGCATCCTTTACTGACAGTGAAATATATAAAAACACAACTTCCCACCCACCCCCTATTCCTGATTTTGTTTTAATTTAAAGGAGGGCAGTCTGTGGTCATTTGAAACATTTTGGAAACAAACCGTATTCAGGCAGCGCCATGGCGTGCAGGAGATGGCCAGGGGGGATCACAAGAAGCGATCCCTGTGCTTCAAAACTGAGTGGTTTTGCTGGTTAGCTTGGTATTCCAAAAGGGGATAAAAATCTGGTAGATTAGTTCATTCTCAGCATGTGTAGCTAGACGAGTAAAGATAACAGCATGAGAAACTGTTAGTACGCATACCTCAGTTCAAACTGTTAGGGAATGAGTAATTTTTTTTAAAAAAACCTACATTTCACTCAGTTGCACTTAGTTATATGTCTTGCATGCATAGTCTAAAGACTGTAGCAAAATAATAAAAGAGAAAATGAAATAATAAAAAATTAGACTTACCGTATCTTGCAGGTATCACTGACCTGCAGAAGAACCAAGAGAAAAATCTCAGGCTTTACATCAAGCAAACTTTGCTATTTTTTACAAATTTCTGATTCTGTGTCCCTTTCAATAATAACAATTGTTCCTATAGGGTGGGGTTTATTATGTTGTACATATATAGCCCAATGTGTCTCTGTGATCCTTTTTGTCTTTTGGTGGGTGGGATGGGGCGGCAGGGGAAAGAAATGGGGAGGGAGAAGGTCCTTTTTTAATAAAAAAAAAATATCATTCCTCAAAAGGAATAAATGCATACCTGTTAAAACACCCTTTGCTTTTTGTGCAACTGCTTTATATAAACTATACTTTTAAAAAATGCTTTGGGGAAAAAATCCTACTGTATGTAATGGAATTGCAGAATATGCTGCACATATATTTTATTTAGTTATCCTTGCTTTAAGACTATTGGATGACATTTGCTGACATGTGGGAGAAAATCCCAAACTCTCTGTTTTGGTTTTGGCAGATTCCCCCCCCCCTTCTGGCTTCTAAAATGTAACATAGTTGACAAATGATTCCCAACCCCCCAACCCCCCTGTTATGGATCAAATCATTTTTGTACAGGTTTTTTTGTTGTTGCTGTTGTTGCTGTTATGCTGTTTTGTTTTCATTTTAAATACTTTCCCTGCCCCTTCTGTTATTTCCCTACCACTGCCTATTTCTGGCTGTCTTAAGGGGCGGGGAAAAGTTGTTTCAAAAAAATGTTTTCTCCTCCTGCAGTAAATACTTTGCATGATGAATTCCAAGGTCACACTTTCAAAGTTTTATCAGTGAAGTAGTGATTAATAATGGAGAGTGTCAAAAATTATTGAACTTTTGTATAAAAAAAAAAAGAAATACTTTACAAGGTGCCAAGATGTAAAGACAATTTGTTACATGCTCTGTTTTTATTTTATTTTCTCTCAAAAGAAAAGCGTACATTATGAAAGTAGTACAGGTAAACCACTGTCAGGAATGAGAGTCGAAGCCAACCTTATCCACACACACACACACACACACACACACACACAATAAAAACCTCTCCATGGAACTGACTGAGCTCTCTTCCCTCCCCCAGCTGAGCTCGGCTGTCAGCTCTGATCACCTGTTCCAGAGCAAAAGGCGCAGGGATGGAAGAGGGGAAAGTCTTCCTCCCCACATAGACTCCAAATGCAGCAACGTGTCTGCAGTTTCCTGCTGCATTTGCAGACCTCTAGACGGAAATGAATACCCTGCATGTACCCCTAAGGGCTGGATGCAGCAGGTTCTCTTAGCAACTTCTTGCACCGACAGTAGAAAGAGTTCCATAGCCAGAACCCTCTTTTTGTGTAAAGCTCATCCCTTCTCTGGATTGGGACAACGCAGTTCAAATGCTTAAAACCTGCTGGATTTCTACATTTGACCAGAGGCAGAATAAAATGGGGGGGGGGGGGAGAGAATCAAGGCTTATGTTAAACTTCAGTAAGGAAATACAATAAATAAAAATGTTTGATTCTCCTTTAGGAGAGCCCAGCCATAGCACCCATGATCAGCTTATCAGGGGTGGGAGAAGGAGGAGATGGGGAGGGGGTATGAATCTACGAATAATACAAATCATTAGATATTTTATATATAAATATATATATAAAATATATCAAAGTTTAAAAAAATAATTTTGAACTGTTGTAGTTTTCAGAATGCTGACAAGCTACGTTCCTTATAGCATGGAGAATGTGTTTTAAACTCTCTTGGAAAGTTTTGGTATCTTTTTTGCTTAACGTACTTTTTAGATGTCACGGAAAACTAATTTATCATTCTTAAAAGTCTTGAGAGTTACATTTGCAGACCCGTTCCACGTTTTTAAACAGGCCCAGAGTTAGTAACAGGATATCTCCTTCCCAAAAGCCTTGATGAAAATGGTACAGTCCAGACTGTTAGCATGGTTCTTCATGTGTATGTGCTGCCAGTAACAAGATTCCCCTTTTTTTGTTTTGGTTTGGTTTTTGAGGCATACAAGAAACTCATTCCTTACATCAACTGTAATTCCATCATTCCATGTCTGTTGATGCAGACAATAAAATGTTGTGTAGTCAGTACTTATTACTGACATTATAGCATTCTCTAATGCAATAAAAGTGCTGGTTGTTCACACTGGTGATATTTGTTGCCATGGGCCATGTGTTTTTTGCTTTCCCTGTATGCTGGTGCCGCACTCAAATATACCACACCTATGTCTACTTGTACCCTTGGAAGTTCATCAGCAGGAGCCTTCCAGCCATTCATAGCTTTAACGGGAGGTGGTGTCCTTCATTGGCACAGGCAATTTTTTAAAATTTTTGTTTCCATGTCGGGAAGGAATACAGTGGGTGAAGGTGCCAGTTTTTAATCAAGTCGTTGCCTTAAAACCAAACTTCACTAACCATGCAGACTCTGTACCCACCTACTGAGAAAATACGATCAAAACCATCACTTAGACCATGATCCTTTTCACATTTTCCTTGGTGCAAGTCCCAATGTACTCGGTGCCATCCTAAGCTGCCTACTTAAAAGACCCGCTGTTACCCTAGTAAAAACCTGGGAACTATTTATGGATTTACCCTGAAAGATTAAAAAAGGAACAAACAAATGCAGTAAAACAAAATTGAAGTGCAACTGGCTAACTTGTAAAGCTTTTCCAAATTGTGAATGCAAATACTTCTGTTATTCATTCAAGCCCAGAACAAACTGATGGCAAAAAACCAAACAAAAACCTTAGACCATATATATATGAATGAACAGTGGTGTGGGACTTTTCAGCATGGTACTGTTACAAGCCACCCCAATCTCCGTCAGGCGGTAGCAAGAGATTCCAGGGGTCTTGGCACTTAACCAGGGTTGCTTCTCCATTGGGAAATTGAGGCACAGTGGAGACTAATGTCTTTAAGAAATACGGTTACACATATTCGCACCTGACACCTTCAAAGGAGAACATTACACCCCAAGAGTGTCTCCTTTGAGTGGCTCCTCTCATAGCTCCAGCAAGTTTGGGTTCAAAGCAGCAACCAGTCATGATCGGCAGCCAGCCTCTCTGGATTTGGGTTCACTTTTCTCACACGATGCTCCTCCACTAATGCCAGCAGCTGCCATTTCATGCAGAAGGACACTTTTGGATCCAAAGTCACTATCAACATGCCAAGTCAAGAGTTACTCTGTGCAAACAGTTCCTTCACTCCTGTTTATCTGATCTTCTGATTATGTGCATCTTCCGAGTTTCCCACAGGCCATTCAGATTAATGAAGTTGAAGAGTCATGCTGTGAGCTCACAGCAGTTCCATTGATTTCAGTACCATTGGTTTTGGCATAAGTCCTTCACTTAAGAAACACAGATGCTTTGCAAAACTCGATGGCCAATACATTAGGCCACTCTTCAAGAGCATCATTGTCCCTATAGGCAAATTGTAAGGAGGGAGTACAGTCCTACAGTCCTCCCACCTCTCTTTGAGTAAGCATACGTTTATCTTCTACATCAAGGAAAATAAAAAAGTGTTTAATAACTAGCAATAGCAGGAACTAAAATTTCAGAGAAAAGCATTTTCATGAATAATTCATTAAAATTTCACATCTGCAAGATTAGTCATCCAAATAAAATGCTAATGTCAAAAACATGCACCGTCTATAATATTCTCATCAAGCAATCTTTTTGCATATAATGATAAATGCTTGAATTAGTAGAAATGATTTTATAAAAATACTCTATCATAACATTAAATGGATGGGGAAAGTTATGTTAATTGATGTCAATAGCGTATTGAACTATTATTGATTTTTCATCAGCTGATGTAACAGCAATGTTATTAGCAGAAATTAATAGGTAATGCACCTTTATGGCTACAATAATACTGGGAAACCGTCCTAGATCTATCTACCTTCTTTTCATTCCTTATAGTAGATTTTAACTTTTTTCACAAATAGTGTATTTTACACTATGTATATCTAGGGAGAAAATTCTCAATTTATTTCACCTGTCAGTTGCAATACAGTGAGTAAAGTAAATTTGTCTACAGAAGACCATAACACTGCAGCGTTCATAATGCTACATTATCAACGCTCTCCACTGCTGGGTTTAGCTGCAACAGGCATAGGCAAACTCGGCCCTCCAGATGTTTTGGGACTACAACTCCCATCATCCCTAGCTAACTGGGCCAGTGGTCAGGGATAATGGGAGTTGTAGTCCCAAAACATCTGGAGGGCCGAGTTTGCCTTTGCCTGAGCTACAACATCAAGGCAGAGCACATGCTTGGCATGTCGAAGATCCCAAGGTTCTGTCTCTGGTGCCTCCAGTTAATAAGAGCAGGTGAGCCCACAGGAAGTTACTCCCAGTCAGAGTAGATGACTGGGCTAGACTGACAAGTAGACTGACCTGACATAATACACCTTTGCATATTCCTAAGTAAACTGAATTCCCCTTTGGTAGAATACATGCTTATACGTTCTCTTCAGCATCTATAGGTGGGCTGAAAGGGAAGGTGTGAAGTGGGCCAGGGGACCAACAAAAACAGCTCTTTTTGCCACCAGTTCCACTTTCACAGAAACCATTCCCCCCTCCGTAACATCATCTGTGCCAGCTCTGCATCATGACATAGAGTTTTGCAGTATTGGCTTGGACAGGGAGGAGTGGTGGGCTTCATTGGTGATTGCCCTCTCCATTCCCCAAAAGCTATCTTGGTTGGGATATTGTTACAAAGGTAGCGCCTCCACCCATCTCTGCCGAGCAGTGCATGAGATTCCCGAGGGCTCCCGGCACTCACCCAGGGTTATGTTCCCATTGAGAAGCAAGACTTGGTGGAGGCTGTCATGCCTTTAAGAAACATGGTTTAATTACACATATTGACACCTTAGTTCAGATGAATGACAGCTCTATTGGCTGCTGCCCTTCAGCTCACGCATGGTGTTCTCCCTTTTTTCTAACAGAAAAACCACCACTCTCCTGCCTTTCTCCTTTCAAGCCCACAACGACTTGAATAACTTACCCTGTGGTTCTGTTGAACCCAAGAATATGAGAAGCCTGGGCACGTGAACCAGGGACTAACTGAATTCCAGGAGATTTCAGCCATGTCCTTGGGACTAAAACTTCGCTTTTCGTTGTCTGAAATGGATGCACAACTAGCTTGTTGATCCTTTGCATAATTGAAATGATGTGGAATGAGCTATATGAAATCATAAATGATTGCTCCTGAAGACTCAACACACAATTTCGAACTAACGAAGCACTAAATTAACATATCCAGATCACGGTACCATTATTGTGGAACACCATGCTGTTTTCATTGACTTCGGTATTGCTATGAACAGCATAAATTTAAGTATTTGCTACTCTTATTTATTTACTTAGCTCCCTTTAATCCTTACATTGCAGCAACTGGGAAGAACACTCCTCTCCTTACAGCTGCTGAGATAAGTCAGTGTAACTTAGCCAGGATCTTATGTACTTCTGAAAGCAAATAATGCAACAGCAGTGCAGACGACGGATTAGAAGATAGCAACTCCAAAAGCCGGTCCCTCAGCAATGACTTACAATGAGGGGAAATAAAGAGTGTTCCCTCAAAAACAGCTGGTGGGGGCATACCCAATCCTCACCAAGAACTCTTGGGGCAACAGGGTCTTTGCTAGGGATTTGGATTCCCCCCCCCACATACCAAATGGGGTGCAGGTTTCACTTCCCTGCTTTGACAGCTGCCCTGGTGCACAGGGCATCCAATGCCATATGGGCATTCAGTGAGGAGACATCTGAACCTTCAGGAAACTGGAGTGAGTCTCCGATTCAGGTCTAAAGACTGAAGTGCAGTCCGCTGCATTTCTTCTTCTGGTGCATACACAAGAATAACTTATGAAAACGTACAATGAGCAGCATGAAGAAACGCTGCAGCTAGTAGAAAGGTGGAAGCGCTTACGAGTCAGAAACTAGAATTGGTAGACGATCCTGAACAAAGACAAAATGCTATTGATGGAAGCCTCAGTTAAAGAATACGGAAATTCCTTACTGGGTGTTTTCGAAAGCATGACCAACATAACGATTGATATGCATGTAACACTAACCCTAATAAGCATGAATGGTGCACTGTTAGAAAACCGTGGCCACTTTGCTCCTTCACCACTCCCTCTGCTGTTACACTATCATGAGTGAAGCCATGGTTTGGTTTACTGTTAGATGAGAACTGGGGTTCGTGGTTTGTCTCCCACAAGGCCTCCTGGGCGTGACATCAACTTCATCATCAACATGACCTCAAGGGCATCAGCTTGTGACAATGTACACCTGTTTGTAGGGAGTAATGTATCCAGGCTCGTCTTTCCTTTGACCAACAATGTCAATGCTAACACCAATGGCAACCAGCTGTTGCAGGAGTACAAAAGAATGCAAATGCAAAGTTGCAGCAGAACACACACACTGCTCTGGATCAGGGCCCACGGGGCCAACACAAAATTAAACAATGCTAAGTTCCTGGGCCTCACACACAACCAAGTTAATCAGTTATACTGAAACTACCAAGACAGACAGACACAAACCCCAACCTATTCACAAGCTCTTTATTTTACAATCTCATTTATCTCCATATGTGTCAAATAGCCATATCATTTTACTCTAAAACATTAACTACTTTCTGTTCTTTAAAATCAGCGCCAGCGTGTACTATAGATTTCTGCCAGAATCTGAACAACTACGTTAATATCATAAAGCAATAAACAAAAAAATAATATTGTTGAACCTGACCCTATGTATAAAGAGTTGACAAGTTAAAGCTACCTCTCAAAATGGTCAAAAGCAAATTTCAGAATGAACAACAAAAGTTGCAGCAAGATGTTCAAGGCTTCAAACACCTAGCCCGTAAAATAAACCTCTCCCCGCACACATCATTATCCAAAAATGAAAGCAAATAATTATTAGCCTCACACTTTTTTGTTTTTTTAAAAAATCCTAGGAGCCCCCACCAAATAACTATGGCTGTCAGCTGATTAAAAAAATGCATGGTATATCAGTCTTTTAGCTCTTTGATGAAATAATAAAGTGCTTTCTCTTTGCTTTTTGCGGGTGGGGTTTTTCATAAATTTCATCCTGGTCTGCTTTGATGCTGTTTTGGTAATGCTTGTGCTGGTTCTGTGTTTATTGATTGCATTGTAT